CGGGAGGGCGCTGCGCATGCGCGCAGGGGGCCCGGCGGCGGCGGGACCGCGGTGGGAAAGCTCTGGGAGCTCTGGGGGCGCGTCGGGCGAGCCCCGGGGCCCTTAAGGAGGGGGAATGTGGGGTGCAAATGATGGTCCTGGGGCGAGGCAAGGCTGGGAGTTTCAGGATTGAGAGAGAACCCCGACGGGGAGGCCGGAGACGTGGGTTCCGGTCCGCGCTCGGCCGAGGACCTGAGGCAAGTCGCTTTGCTCAATTTTCCTCACCGGACAGAACACGTCCGTCGGGACTCCTCACAGCCTGGCCGGCCGGCTGGCTTGCTAGATGGAGATCTCTCTTGAGATGTGCGCATCGCAGCTGGCGAGCGCCTGGCCCCGTGCCCCCAAACTTGGCCAGTAGTTTTGGCCGCGCCCCCGCCACCCCCCCGCCCGGGAATGGCGTTGCCTGCGGCGGGGGCGGGTCCCCGTGGCACCTCCCTCCGGGGGCCGTGTGGGGACCGGGGCCGGCAGCGACGAGCCTGATGAGAGAGGATCAGGGAACTGTCCTACCTATATACGCATTTGTATTTGCGGTATGAACTCCGTTTCTAAATTAAATACCTATCCAGAGAGTTTAAGCTCCAGCAAGCAGTTAGAAAATCATATCGGTGACGGAACCCCTAAAGTGGAGGCACCGTAAATCACTTAAAAAGGATCCCTCTTTTTAGGGAGGCCGTTTCCTCCAGTCCAGCTCTAAGGAACTTGCCTAATATTGGTGGGAGTGACTTAAGAACTTCGAGTACTCGCTTGTTTGACAGTTTGCTCTTTTCTTTCTCTAGTACAGACAGTAACTGTCGCTATTGAAGCCCCCAGCGGTGCTCCAGCCACAAGGGAGGCGCTAGCTAGCAGGTGTGTAAAGCTTCGCGTGCTTCTCTGCGTGACTCACTTCGTGCGCAGTAACGGAAGGGCCTTCCTGAGATTGCTGTCACCATACCTGCCTGTCACCTTCCCAAGGCTGGCCGCTGTATGACTGTTTTGCTGTCATGGAGGTCAAGGAGGAGGGGGAAAAGGGAAACAGATGCTGAGGCCCCAGAGGACATAGTGAGAGAGAGCTGGTTCCTGAAGTGCCATGAGTAAGGGGCTCTGCCCTCCTTTTTAAATTACAGTGAGCCAGATGCCCAGTCCAAGAGCCTGGAAGTATTCCTGCTCTTGGTTTGAGGAATCAGTGTGACCTACCCCAACAAAGATTCCTGTCTGTGACTGGCAGCCAGTTCTTAGGGAGTCCAGATAATATTACCACAGTGGAGGGCTCATAGAGATGACACCCTCCTTCCTTAGTCACCCTAGTCTGTGAAGTATGATTGTCAGTTGTGTGTAGGCCATCTGTCTATTCTGATCTGGCTTTTTTTTTAAATAATGGAGGGAGGATGATATGAAGCCCAGATCAAAGGCAGTTTTGTTTTGTTTTTTAAATATGTTTTTNTTTTAAATAATGGAGGGAGGATGACATGAAGCCCAGATCAAAGGCAGTTTTGTTTTGTTTTTTAAATATGTTTTTATTGATTTTAGAGAGAAAGCGGAAGGAGAGGGATACAAACATAGATGAGATCAGCTGCTTCCTGCACACCCCATACTGAGGATCGAGTCAGCAACCCGGGCATGTGCCTTGACCGGGAATCAAACTGGCAACCTTTGGGTGCATGGGATGACATTCAGCCAACTAAGCCACACCGGCCAGGGTTGATCTGGCTTTTTAAAAATCCTCACCTGAGGATATGCTTCTTTTTTCATTTATGAGAGAGATCGATCACTTGCCTCCTGTACAAGTCCTGAACAGGGATGGAACCTAAAACCTGGGTATGTTCCCTGACCGGGAATTGATTTCAAGACCCTTTGGTGTGCAGGACGATGCTCTAACCACTGAGAATACCAGCCAGGGCTGATCTGACTTTTTGTTGTGACACATCCATGGGTCCAGTTCCCCCATGATGAAGTATAGGCCTGTCCAGCCCTCTTCCTAAGGTGGATGTGGAATGAAAGACTAAGCCAAATGGGCTAAGCAGCTGCAACATGTACAATATTGGTGACAACTGAAGAAGGCTAGGCATTGTGTTACATTTTGAGTTTCTACCGTCATAGGAACCAGACATAGTATTATAAGCCCCCAGACCCAAGCCTGAGCACTTCAGCTAAGATCACCCCTCAAGGTGCCACTCATTATCCTCATCCCTTTGATAAGCTCACCCAGATCCCATTAACTTCATTGTCAGAAACAGAACCCCACCACTCACAGTGGTGCTGCTACCTTGTGGATACTAAGAATCCAGCCCTCAGACTCCTGCAGGGTCCCCTTCTTTCCATCCAGTGGCATGGGTAGTAAGAGGTAGGCATTTGGCTAAAGCAGTTTATTTATTCAGAATAAATTTACAGCTGCCTAAAGATTTTAAGAGTTTTTCTCAAGAGGCATAACTGAATGATGAAACCAGTTTTCTCTTTAATTTTTTTTTTTTTTTTTTTAAAGGGCGGAGGCACCAAGACCTCAGGGACTTCTTTCAGTGCTCACAGAAACCTCCTACACCCTGGTGATGGCACATTGGGACTGTTTTCTTGCTCTAAGTCTGAATGACTGCCAAAAAGGAAGGCAAAAGTAGAGCAGTTGGATCTCTGACTCTGCCCATAGCATCTAATCTCAGACTGAGATTAAACTCCTTTCTGAGCCCAAGGACATAGCTCACTTGAACAAATGATTTTGAGTCATGAGTGAAAAATCTTGCTCTTTCCAGAGTGAGAAAGAATTACGAGATGGACAGGTAAGCAACCACTTCTTTTTTTTTTTTT